TGCAGTATTCTTTTCTTTTTTTAAAATCTTCTCATCGGGACTTTACATGACGTCGGAGACGCTGTCCACAGGGTCAGCCCCCACCCGTGTATCAAATATTGTTACATTACTGTCGCTGCACAGAACCACTTAAAACAATCAAATAGTCTCACCTGTTTAAATCCATGCTTCTCTCCAAGCAAAAACTTAGGGGAGATTTTATTATTTTTTTAGATTTATTTATTTATTATGTATACAACATTCTGCCTTCATGTATGCTCACACTTCTGAGGAGGGTACCAGACTTCATTACAGATGGTCGTGAGCCACCATGTGGTTGCTGGGAATTGAACTCAGGACCTCTGGAAGAGCAGCCAGTGCTCTTAACCCCTGAGCCATCTCTCTAGCCCCTTAGGGGAGATTTTTAAGTGGGTGTCTGTCTCTAATTCCTAGCAGGGAATTGCTTCCTTGGGGAGCTTGCCATGACACTATACAAAGGGGGGAAAGCGTGGTGAAAATCACCAGGACAAGGAACAAGAGAGGTTGAAATGAAAGCTAGCTTGCCAACCACCTGCCAAGTGGGCAAACCGGGACCACTCACCAGCCTGATGATGATCTGAATGGCCCAGGATTTTTTTAAGTTGTATGAAGAAGATAATTTGCCTGAGTGTCTGAGTCACAGAACCTCCAGCACCATCTAATACTATTTTTAAAAATGGATGAATACATACATCTCTACTTCTGCTTTCTAGTCGGAGCAACGTTATGATCCAGGCCTCATCACCTTGGTAATTAGCTAGCATTTGTAAAGTGCTTTGAAGATGAAAAGCATCCTATAAATGCTAAGCATTATTAAATAATACGAGAGGAAAGTCATGAAATAGATACATTGTTAACATTAATTTGTATTTTATCTTTGCTTATCTCCGGTTCCCTCCCAGCTGACATTTGAGGCTGAACTATAGAGAAACGCTGAGGCTGGGCCTTGTCTCTTTCCATTGCAGCAGGCTCCAAATGCATACTTCCCCCCTCCAAAAAAAAAAAATGTGTTTTCACATAGAAATAAGCTATCCGGAGAGAGTCCCAGTTAAACTGCTGGAGTATTAACTAGTTGAACAATTCACCTCCAGCCAATAGTTAAAAGAAAGGATGTGCTAACTCAGCAGTGAATAAGCACCTCTGAACAAGTCTGTAGGGGCTCTAGCCAGAACCCCATCACTTGGGAGGCAGAGACAAGACAAGGCAGAAATACATACTGAGTTCTAAGCCAGCCAGAGCTGCAAGGTGAAACCCTACCTCAAGAAACAAACTAATAGATAAAACAAAATTTCTGTTTAGTTGAAGGCAGTGAAAAAGACGCCAGCAAAGAAAGCAGCCGAACGTGAGTCCACTCTGCCCTCTGTCCTATTGCTGAGCCTCCCCCTCCGGGCAGTCTATTGTGGAGTGTTGACTGGTCTCTACCTTCTCCTGTCGTCAAAACAAGTTAAACCACGTCTTCTGAAGCTGCAGTCTGACTCCCTGTCATCTCTTTCTCTCTCCCAGTGCGAAGTGGGCAGGAGGCAAACCAGCTTTCCAAAGCCCCTGGCAGCCTGCCAGGAGTTGACACTCGGGAGAAAAGTCTAGAGCAAACTAATTCTTAAGATACGTGCGTCGTGAAGACTTTCAATAAAGCAGGAACTAACTGACGAAGAACATTCGAAGTCTTCGCCAAGTGTCTAAATTGCCTAAAAGCGAGCCGACCTCTCCAGATCGTCGCAGCATCTTCATCACGAAGCCCGCTTCCGTGATACTGAAGTTAATTCAAAGTTCTGTTACAGGAAACTCGTCCTTATTAAAGTCACATTAAGTACTCCCTTTTTATTGATCTTCCCCTTCAGCTTAATGATAGAAACTTACTGATGTTTTAATAATAACCTCACAAGCTTTATCTCATTTTACTGTGCCTCGCTACTAAAAGATGTCGTGGACCCGAACTTGGCATAAACGTTTTGCAGATATCTTTAAAGGCTGGGGGAGGTGGGAAGTGGAGGGGACGGGGGTGGGGGTGGGGGGTTCAATTGAGCTGCGTGTTAACAAAGGTGGCTGAAAAACTAAAAGATAAAAGGGAGGCTCCGGTGTGAACATCAAAGAATTGTTAATGACAAGAAATACCATTAGGGTGAGCATTGCTTTTGTTTCAACCCTTTCACACCTGCGGAGTGTGGTGTGTTCAGCCTTTGTTCCCAAGTTGGGACTACCTCCATTAGCATTTATAGGCCAAAAAAAAAAAAATGACCGCAAAAAAAAAAAAAAAAAAAAAAACCAGAAACCTACTTCTGGCTCTCCCCTTTGGCTTGAGAAGTCAGAAATTAGTTAGCTATCTGCAGATTTCCCTCTGGTCTCTGGTTGTAGGTATGGTAGAGAGGTGGAAGGTAATATGTTGCAAATGAGTCTGCTGGAAATGTGAGAATCACTTTGTAACTCAAAAAAAAAAAAAAAAAAAAGGGACGGGAGCTGCTGGGAGAAGCTCCCAGAAGAAGCCCAGACGTGAGCAATGGCGAAATCAGAGCGTGAAATTCAGATTAGCCCTCCCCGGGCTGTGCGGGGAAGGGAGCACGGCAAGACTTGGCATGGCAAAAGGTGTAACCTGTTTTATTTGGCCCCTGAAAAATTTTAACAGATGGTGGGACCAGCTGTCTTTTTCAGCCATTTAATAAACTCCTCGGTGGTAACAGTTTGAAAAGTGGGGGATTTTTTTGTTTTAGGCCAGAGGAGAAAATAAAGAAATCTGTCCCAAATTGTCTTTGCCAAGCAGTAGAGCCTGGAAACACGAAAAGTTGAAGGAGGAACAGACACAGCCGTCCACATCATGGTCTTGTTGTTTTTTAAGGGAACCGCAACAAAACCAAATTCTCTTAACAGCGGGGGTTGGGGAATGAGTTTTGTCTCATTCTTTTGATCTGAGCTGTTCATCTGCCTTTCAGAAAGAGACTCCTGGTTCTTTAATAGTCATAGACAAGTGCGCACAAAGTCAACAGTCACCGGACGTAAACACTTGGTTATGACCGATGAAAGGACCGATTCCTTCCGGTTCCATAAAGAGTCTAAAATGGTAGAGACGCCTCCAGTTCCAGTCAGAACATGACCAAAGAGGTTTAGCTTTGGGGACTTAAATATTTTCTAAAACTGACACCTTTTCCTCCCACCAATAAAATGGCAATTTTTTAGTAGTGAGAGTTCTGCAGTTCTCCCTGAGGCCTCCAAACTCAACTCCCCTTTCTTACAATTGCTAGGGATTCCTGGCTGAGCAACAGCCACTTCCACTTGACAGACCTTTGTTTTATCTGGGCAACCTGGAAAATTACACAGACAGGCTTGGCAATTAAATTTGAAACAAGGGGATCTCCACTTTCAAGAATGACAGAAACAATTGCAGTTCATCCAGGTGACACTTCCCCAAAAGCCCACCCTTCTGCATGTAAAATGTTTGTTTTACAGTCTCTGGTCCAAAGAGCTAGCTACACAAGAGTATTCCTCACTAATAAGGCTGGATATGGTGGAGCACGTCTCTCATCCAGGCACTTGGGAGGCAGAAGCAGGGGCATCTCTGTGAGTTTGAGGTCAGTTTGGCCAACACAGCAAGTTCCAGGCTAGCCAAGGCTGTACAGTGAGATTCTTTCTCAAAATCAAAAACTAAACAACAACAATAACAACAACAACAAAGCCTAGTGAATGAAGAAAGAAAGAAAAAAGAAAGAAAGGAAGGAAGGAAGAAAGAAAGAAAGAAAGGGGAGGACATGACTGGTCCTACGTAAGGAGGAGACGGTTTATGATGGTTTATTGTACATAAAAGGAAAAGCATAGCAGAGGCAGAAACATCTGGGAGAGTCCAGAGTGAACATGACCCTGAGCTAGACCATGTAATGAGAGGGAGAGCCAGGAGTCAAGAGGTCAGGAGGCAAAGAAGCCAAAAGGTAAAACAGCTGGGTTGAATGGGAATCAGAGAAGCTGGGGAAGTGAAAGCAGAACCCAGTCCCTGGACTGGAGAAGTTAGGGTAGAGGGTGGGGTAATCAGTCAGGAGGTGCTTGTTATTGGTAGGGACTGAGGTAGGGACCTGGCAGCCAATGACAGCTTTGATTTGTTAATGAGCAACTCAGCCATTTGTCTCGGGTTTGAGACCCAGGGTTCGTATCTAGTAAGCATTCTGCTTAGCTTCTGGCCTGCCTGCCTTCTTTCTGAACCTTTAGTAATGTTGGGGTCTTAAGCTGCAAAGTTGGGGGGATTGGTAATGAAAGATATGATAACGAGCATACATTCCCTTTTACAATACAAAGTACTACACTAAACTTGGGAAACGAATAGCTTCAACTAAAATTAAAGAAATGGGACTTCATAAGATATATCAAACCTGCCTACAAACTAGATTTATCCAGACTTTACCTCCAAAATGTCCAGACCTTAATATCTATGTGAACTACTTACAGATACCAAATCAAATAAAAAACAGAATTCAGGCCAATCTTCCAGAACATATAAATGTGCTTTATCCTAAAATCAAGAGGAAAAATGAAATGATTCCTTTAAAACCCAACTGAATACACACACACACACTCACACTCACACACTTACCTATATCTGTACATACATATATAAGTATGTACAGAATATATATATATTTCTAACACATCCTCATAAATAAATGTTATATTTAATATTTCTTTTTACAAAAAAAAACAGAGAGAACTGTAACCTACCTAGCAAAAAATAAATACTAAAGTAAACAAATAAGTAAAATAAGTACACATATGTGTATCTATACACTTCCCCTCTGTTCCAATATCATTAGGTAAACGGGTGGGCCAGGTTAAGTAAACAACATGGTTTAGGACTAGCTGCCACCGTTAAACCTTTAATATCTCCAGCTTACCTTACTCAGGCTTTCTGCCAGTGAGGGGCACCCACAACCTTAGACTCCTGCACACAGGACACATATATGGCCACTGCACCTTCAGAACCGTCATACGCATCCCCAGTAGTGATTATGACCCAAGCAGTGACCAGCAGAGAAGCCCACAGAAAAGGGCACAGAAAGTGGCTACCTCGGCCGCTTTGCAGATGCCGCTGTCCCCTCTCACCGCTTGCTGCAGCCACGGTCAACCCCACCGTGTTCTTCGACATCGCGGCCGATGGCGAGCCCTTGGGCTGCGTCTCCTTCGAGCTGTTTGCAGACAAAGTTCCAAAGACAGCAGAAAACGTTCGTGCTCTGAGCACTGGAGAGAAAGGATTTGGATATAAGGGTTCTTCCTTTCACAGGATTATTCCAGGATTCATGTGCCAGGGTGGTGACTTCACACGCCATAATGGCACTGGCGGCAGATCCATCTACGGAGAAAAATTTGAGGATGAGAACTTCATCCTGAAGCATACAGGTCCTGGCATCTTGTCCATGGCAAATGCTGGACCAAACACAAACGGTTCCCAGTTTTTTATCTGCACCACCAAGACTGAGTGGCTGGATGGCAAACATGTGGTCTTTGGGAAGGTGAAAGAAGGCATGAACATTGTGGAAGCCATGGAGCGTTTTGGATCCAGGAATGGCAAGACCAGCAAGAAGATCACCATTTCCAACTGTGGACAACTCTAATTTTTTTGAGTTGCGGGCTTCTTACCCACCAGACCATTCCTTCTGTAGCTCAGAAGAGCACCCCAGCCCCATCTGCTCGCAGTACCCTGTAATCTCTGCTCTCACTGAAGTCCTTTGGGTTCCATATTTTCCTCATTCCCCTTCAAGTCTAGCTGGATTGCAGAGTTAAGTTTATGATTATGAATAAAAACTAAGTAAGAACTGTTAAAAAAAAAAGTGGCTACCTCTAGTATTCATCTAGCGGCACACAAGTCATAGCTCCAACAAGAGACTAAGTCCAAATTTTGTGCTACTTCCTGATGCATCCTCATAAATAAATGTCATATTTAATTAACATCATTTATTTTTACAAAAAAAAATCCTGAGAGAGAGCTGCAGCCTTCCTAGCAAAAATAAAAGCAATATTTTACTCTAGAGCAAAGAATTACAGATAATGAATCCCATTTAAAAATGATAAATTAGCCAGGCTGTGGTGGCGCACACCTTTAATCTCAGTGCTCCGGAGGCAGAGGCAGGAAGATCTCTGTGAGTTCGAGGCCAGCCTGGTCTACACAGCAAGTTCCAGAACAGCCAGAGCTACACAAAGAAGTCCTGTCTCAGATAGATAGATAGATAGATAGATAGATAGATAGATAGATAGATAGATAATAAATTAATGTGAACCAGAAGAACTTAAATTCTTTAGGATTATCAGAAAAGATTAATTTCTCAATTCTTCAGATATCTAAGAAACTGAAATAAAAGAAAGCGTGCAAGAACTCTTTATGTAATTTAGACATGCTTCTTACACCAACAGCCCATTTCTGTATTCCCAATTGTTTTTTAAATACCAACCAAAAAAAAAGGTTTCAAGAACAAATCTTCTCTCAGGAAAATTGCCTTTTCTCCATTTATGGATTTTTATACAACAACACCAACACAACCCCCTTTCTTTTACCGAGGAAAAAGTGCTGGAGATTGCAACAAACCTTTACTACCTAAAGAAAAGCATTTGTAAATATTCTACGCATCTATAAGCACTCTTGAAGTCTGTACTGTGTGACTAACCCACAGGTTGGTTTACATTATTGTTTTTTTTTAATGGGATGTCATATGGAAACCTATTTCACCAGAGTTTTAAAGAAATAAAAAGGGTATTGTTTTGTGTTCTTCAAAAAAAAAAAAAAAAAGAACTCTTTATGTTGGGTACTTCCTGATAAGATACATTTTTTTTAAACTATATGATCAGTAAGCAGTTAAATTCTCAGCATTCAAATAAATGTTTTAACAGATTAGCTAACAGCTGGTTGTACATAAAAAAAAAATTCTACCTTTAATTTCATTGCAATAATAAACATAACTACAAACACTCGAAAGCGGCTGAGTAGTTCACAAAATAGTTGAATCTTTCCAAAGATATCACTGGATATGTGCTGTGTGCCAGACAAAGAATATCAAGTGTGACAGGACAGGGGTAAAGAAGAAAAAAAAAAAGGCCGGGCGGTGGTGGCGCACGCCTTTAATCCCAGCACTCGGGAGGCAGAGGCAGGCGGATCTCTGTGAGTTCGAGACCAGCCTGGTCTACAAGAGCTAGTTCCAGGACAGGCTCCAAAACCACAGAGAAACCCTGTCTCGAAAAACCAAAAAAAAAAAAAAAAAAAAAAGAAGAAAAAAAAAAGGAGTTATTTATATCACATGTTAAAATAAAGGGTAACTTAAAAGAAAAGAAGAAAAAAAAGAACAAGAGGAAGAAAACAGGATTTTTTTGGCTCCAGAAGAGAAACAGAACAAGAAACAAAGTTACAACAGAAACCCAAGGTCTTTCGATGATACAGATGAAACTTCAAAGTGGTCAAACAGTGACTCAGTGAATGACACCAGAAACGTTTACTGAATTTCAGGGGAACTCACAAAGTACTTGCAAGCAGCCATGTTCAACCTGCTGTGCGGATTTGGATGCAAGATGTAGATTGTTACCATTCATTTTAGTGGGAGTTCTGTTTAGAGTTCTGTAGAGTAGCAGGAAAGGAGGAGGAGCTAGGCCCCTCCTGCCCCTGGCTGGTGACAGGCACCCACTTGTCACAGAACTCTGAGTGTTGGAAAATGGCTATCTGCAATATGGATGAACTTAGGATCAGAAAAAGAGGGTAAGTCTCAAGCCCCAAATTAATCATTAGATAAGGCTTTGTAACCCAAATCAATGAGATTTGGGGGACTTGGGAAGTGGATAAGTTCTAGCCTAGAGGAAAAAAGACAGGAATTTCTCCTGATAGGAGAACTTTACAATCCACAGTCTTGTGCCAAATCAGCATGCCAGGCATTTGTGACTTTTCTCCTGCATTCCTAAATTCCTGCTCTTTCATTCTCTCTCCAGAAATCCTGCCTAGCGATCGCTGTTCATCTTTTTTATTACATCAATATCATCTTCACACAGTGTACAAATACCCACAGCAAAGAATAATCTTACAGGTGTTAATTAGCACTTTATCTTAAAAAGTCCTAAATAGAAGAATGAGAGATCTGTGTGAAAAAGGAAAAGTGTTATAAAAGTAGGAGAAAAATAGGTAAATGTTTCCATACTTTTTAGGTGAAAAGACCTTTCCAAACAGGATGTCAAAGGCACTGCCAGGCTGTGGTTGTGCATGACTTTCATCCCAGCACTTGGGAGACAGAGGCAGGCAGAACTGAGTCATCAATCCATCCGGTGGCCCTGGAGAACTGACAGGCTGTTTTAAGTCAAGAGCTTGTCCTGTTTCCCGCCTGTGAAATAAGAGGTTCTAGCAAAGAAGGCTGGGGGGGGGGGGGGGGGGGGGCAGAACAGAAAGGGAGTGTATTGTCCGCAATACTATCTGAGTAGAGTCCAGACTCAGACGACTGTTGCACTGTTGCGAGGGGGTGGAGGGTGAAGCCAGTGAAGAGGAGGAACTGACGGTTCTCAGAGCACTGGTTGAGCAGTCCCATGTGACATCAACGCAAGCCTTACACAGTGCCCCAAGCTCCCCTAAGCCACAGTGAGAGTTATCAGGCTCCCAGGCAAGACCCAGAAGTCAACACTGAGCAACCACTGCTCCCAGGATTTGCGGGGAGAGAGTGGAGTGATGTCTGAGGTTGCAACACCTCCCTCTTGCCCTCCACCACGAATTGGAGGCTTCGAGCAGGGGATGCTTTCCCAGAAGACAAATACTTCATCCTTCAAATTTCTGCCCAATGCTTCACTTCTGTCACCCAAATCCTCTTCCCTTAAGACACCATCTCTGAGAAGACAGAACACCACTAGACAATACCGTTCTTGGGAATGCAGAGATGGCTCAGCAGTCAAGAGCACTGGCTGCTCTTCCGGAGGACCGGGATTCAATTCCCAGTACCTACTTGGCAGCTCACAGCTGTTTGTAATTCCTGTTCCAGGGGATCCAACACCCTCATATAGACATACATGCAGGTAAAGCATCAATGAACCTAAAACAAAATAAATAAATTATATTTTAAATAAAACCAAGAGAGCTTGGTTGAGCTAGAGATAATGGCTCAGTGGTTAAGGGCTTACTGCTCTTGCACAGACTCTGGGTTCAGTTCCCTCACCTACATTGGTTGGCTCACAACCATAGACAGCTTCACTCCATACACACACAATACAAATAAATGTAATTAAAAACGCTGGCTCTCTGCCGGGCAGTGGTGGCGCACACCTTTAATCCCAGCACTCAGGAGGCAGAGGCAAGCGGATCTCTGTGAGTTCGAGACCAGCCTGGTCTACAAGAGCTAGTTCCAGGACAGGCTCCAAAACCACAGAGAAACCTGTCTCGAAAAACAAAAACAAACAAACAAACAAACAAACAAAAAAATCCGCTGGCTCTCCTACATGAGTAACTTCAGTCCCTTAAAAAAAAATTATTGGTTCTCACACGACCCAAAATGGCCTTGACCCTCAGGTGTAGCTGAGGGTGACCTTGACTTACTGTCTTCGCCCTTGAATGGGGGTGTAGAAGCACAGGTAACCACCTTGTGTTTGTGCTTGCTGGGAATGGTACCCAGGGCTTCCTGCATGCTAGGCAAGCACCCTACCAACTGAGCTACTCTCCCAGTCCCTCACTGCCATATTTACAAATAATCTCTTATAGTAATTTAAGAGACTCCAAAGACACATCATTTCATAAGCACTTACATTTCCATCTCAGAGGAGATTTTTTAAATGTCATCATTGAATATTTATTCTTTATTTTATTTTTTATTGTTTTTATTGAACTATATGTTTTTTTCACTCCCTTCCCTTCCTTCTTCCCCTCTCCCCTTCTACCCTCTCCCATGATCCTCACACTCCCAATTTACTCAGGAGATCTTGTCTTTTTCTACTTCCCATGTAGATTAGATCTATGTATGTCTCTCTTAGGGTCCTCATTGTTTTCTAGGTTCTCCGGGATTGAACTGTAGGCTGATTTTCCTTTATGTCTAAAAGCCACTTATAAGTTACTACATATGATATTTGTCTTTCTGGGTCTGGGTTACCTCACTCAATATGATGTTTTCTAGGTCGATCCATTTGCCTGCAAATGTAATTTTTCAGTTTCAATATGTCATTTTTTTCTGCTGTGTTGTACTTCATTGTGTAAATATACCACATTTTCCTTATCCATTCTTCAGTAGAGGGGCATTTAGGTTGTTTCCAGGTTCTGACTATAACAAATAATGCCACTATGAACATAGTTGAGAACATGTCCTTGTGGTATGATTGAGCATCCTTTGGGTTTATACCCAAAAGTGGTATTGCTGGGTCTTGAGGAAGGTTGTTTCCTAATTTTCTGAGAAATCGCCACAGTGATATCCAAAGGGGTTGTACCAGTTTGCACTCCCACCAGCAATGAAGGAGTGTTCCCTTTACCCCAAGTCCTCTCCAGCATAAGTTGTCATCAGTGTTTTTGATCTTGGCCATTCTTACAGGTGTAAGATGGAATCTCAGAGTTGTTTTGATATGCATTTCTCTGACGGCTAAGGATGTTGAGCATCTCCTTAAGTGTCTTTCAGCC